GTATAGATGCATCAATCCGCCAAATGTGAGGTAGACTCATGTGCCTATTATATGAATGCATCCTCTAAGGCTCCAGAATGACACGATTTTTATTTGTATCAGTTTTTATAGGTTAATGAGGTTGAAAAGGCCTACTACAACTAGAAATGCACTCCAATCTACAAAAAGACTTGGTGGCTTCTTCAGCAAGTCGACCTCCTAGTTCGAGTCTGTATAAGGTTACAAATCTTATTTATTTCTTAGTTATTCTTACATATGTATATCTTATTATGTAGCATTTCCTATAGCGCTAGGGACCGTAGATCCCTTCTTATAATTAGAGAATCCTGGGAGGAGCCAAGTGTTTGCTCTTTTTTAACTCCATCCCCTATTTTCATTTCACAATCCTGAGCCTAAATTTAGAGGATTTGGTTTATTTGCCTTTTGTCTTTTTTGCTTCTCATTTCCTTTGAGTCATACTATTTAGACATATGCCATGAAGTGTTTCGGATTCAAAAAATATGATTTATGAATTTGCTTTTGAGATATGATAAGTCTAGTGTAATCATTAAAAACCTGGACTTTTATGTCATTTGATTTAGACATGCTTTGGAATGGTTTAAAGGTCTATTGTTATTATTCTTATGTTTTCATCTAGCTTTGTAAGATGGCTTCTTCCATATGATGAAGCTGAGCAACTCAGGCAACACTTGTGGATCATGTTGTTCTAATGCCATTATAAATGGACTCAAACTATAGGTATCCTTGATGAGTATCTCTAGCTTTTGTTTGTCTTCACTAAAATATTTCTCATGCATTGCCAATATGGGTAGATATTTCTAACGTTTTCAATCTTGTGCATTTTAAAAAACGGGGTATAATTTTTGCGTGGGGTATGATTTACATTGTTTTTTTTGCTATCGGCATGTTTCTATAATAAATAGTACTTTTTGGGTTCAACAGATTTGACTAGATGATGATTTGCAGAATATACCAAGCTTCATAGAGATTTGTTACTTGATATCTGCTATTATTTTAGGTCAAATGCAAGGCTGGGATTATACCAGTTCATTTACATAATTGTTTTGGTTACCGTTGAATTACATAATTTCTTAGTGAATCAGTTTTCATCATAAAATTGGATTAAGAATGTTAGGCACCTGTGGATGGGTATCTCCAACCACCGTTTAGTTAATATAAAAGTTTTTCATGAATATATTTATGTTGGAGCTGTGATGCATCCCATAGATAAATTTAGTAGGTTTTCTTACACATAATTACTTAAAAACTCCTATAATTGCATTGTGATACTGTCGGTCGATAAAATTCCTCCATTTTGAAAAATACAAAATACAGTTTTTATTTAATGTAATAGAAACATTTATATATTGATTTTTTGAAAATAATATTTTGTTTTTTGAAAAATGAGACTTGAATCAAATTCATTTAATAGTTTAAATAAACGAGCACAACACCACAAGTAATGCACTTATCCCGGGGAATAGACACATTACCTGGTAGTGATGCTCGATTAAATAAACTAATGAATTCATGACATCTGTTTTGGTCTGCGAACCTTTTATTGGACGAACACACCGCGTGTATTGGTGTTGACTGAAGAGATGAATAAAACCAACACAGACGTCTAAGCCAATCTATTTAGAACAGAACGTAGAATTGAGTGAGAATTATTTCCGCTTGGAAATTAGCAGGTGATTTTTCAATTTGAACCTGTGAATTTGAGTTTTGAAATTTCAAATGTAGATTTGCTTTGCTTTGTTTTTCTTGTGTTTTTGATTTCAATTTAGTGTTGAGAATGGAGTAGGGCGAATACCTATCTTGAATGCTGAGTGCTTTGATTTTAATTTTCATTTCAATTTCAATTTCAGTTTTGTGCTGAGAAAGGGAGTAGGGCGAAAGCCCATCCCGAATGCTGAGATTGCTAATAAGGGAGTAGGGCAGAGGCCTATCTCGAATGCCGAGAAAGGAGCAGGACTGTGCCTACCCCGAATGCTGATATTCTTGAGAAGGGAGTAGGGCGGAAGCCTATCTCTAATGCTGAGATTGCTGAGAAGAGAGTAGGGCGGAGGGCGCGGAGGCCTATCCCAGATGCTGAGTGCTGAGAAGAGAGAAGCGTGGAGGCCTATCCTGAATGCTGAGATTGCTGAGAAGGTAGTAGGGTGGAGACCTATCTTGAATGCTGAGAAGGGAGTAGGGTGGAGGCCTATCCCGAATGCTGAGATTGTTGAGAAGGGAATAGGGCAGAAAAGAAGTAGGATTGAGACCTATCCCGAATGCTGAGATTGCTGAGAAGGGAGAAGGGCGGACGCCTATCTCAAATGCTGAGATTGCTGATAAAGGATTAGGACTGTGCCTATCTTAATTACTGAGATTTGCTGAGATTCTGTGAATACAAATTTTTGCAGAGATTTGCTGAGATTTTGCAAATGCAGAGACTGAAGAATTTTGCTTAGAATTGTGAATGCAGAGATTTGTGAAAATTTTGCTGAGATTTGTTTATGCAGGGATTTATGAAGAATTTTGCTGAGTGCGGAGAATGTTTGTAGAAATTCATGCAGTGTTGAATTTTATTGAGTTGTCTGTGCAGAGATTTATAAAAAAATTATGAGATGCAGAGTTTTATTTTATTGTTGACTTTTATTTTGTTTGATGTTGAGTTTTATTTTGTTGCATTTGTTTTGGGATTTGGACCTAGTTTTAGACTAACACAACATCCGTGCTTCTAAGAACGAGTTTTTGTCTCTGAAACATCATGAGGCACAATATTTCTTGAAATATCGTCCACTGACTAAAGATAAGTGTTAGAAAATAACTCACTCTTTAGAGTACTATCAGAATTATATTCTTTCAAGTACCTATAAAGATGTGTTATTTCTAAGGATACCACAGTTGAAGAGGCAGCAACTTCGTAGCTTTGTTTGTAGCATTTGTCCTTTGCTTTGCCACTGATTCTGTAAAAGTTGTTCAAGTTGCCTTTGAGAAATCACTCTGACGTTCTTCGAGTTAACGTTAGAGTTGTATTTGCTGGGCATTGAAGGATACAACTTCAGGCTTGAATTTCCATTAATTGCTAATATCATCGTCATTTCTTTAATTCTTTCTTCCTGGGCCTAAGCAGATTTCAAAATTTCTGCTCATGTGATTAAAAATATTTTTCATTGTCTAAAGATATTTTTAAGCCAATTAATAGCCTACCAAAAGATTCGAGATCACATAACTTTTTCCTGAATATAATACCAGCAGAGTTTTTTTAAGAGAGCTCTTCATGTTTTATTAATTAGGGGGAAACTTGGACACTAATTTTTGATTATACGTCTACCTCAAACTTCTCAGGGAGACAACTCTTTTGTTTTGATTTGTTGGATTAAGCTTTTCTCACAATCTTTTTTTTATCTTTTCCCTCTGTTTTGATGATAATTACTATATTTAGTAGAGCATAATTTAAGGATTTTGAATGTGAATTCAGACACCAATTTTGATTTTATGCTCACATCAAGCTTCTTCTCTAGGATTTTCACATTTTTTTTCGCTCTTTTTGTTTTTGAGAATTACTATATCTGGTGGAGCATATTTCTTTTAAAGATTTTGAATGTCCAAACTCCCCTGATTAATAATCCTCAAATATTTTTAATTAATAATCCATCCTCAAATATTTTTAAAACAAATTCTGAAATATTATAACCCTTTCAAAAGTCAGGACCCAATCATGTGGTAGGAAATTAAACGGCTCGTGATATTTTGAGTAAATTACTCATATTTCAATCACACTATTTTATTTTGAAATCACATAGGATTCAGCTTGAATTCTATAAATTAAACAACCCAGTTATTTTGGCAATATTTGTTTGTGCACAAAACCATATCAAAATGAGTGTCCTTCCCAGCTAAAATCGACGTTATGGACGTGCTGGTGCAGTTCATTTCATTATTCAAAATCGTTCGGACAACCTCATTGACGATCTGGTCAAAAATGCGTCGAATTCGATTTTCTTCAAATTTCAGGCTCATGATCGGTCGTTTTGGAAAGTAATTTTGGTTTCGATTAATGATGAAACATACAAAGTCGTAAGTAATGTGAATCGCAATGATTAATGGTGTCGACTGTCTGAATTGTGAAATTTGTGCACGCGAAGATGCAAATTGTGAATAAGGCAATCCTAGGGCTTAGTGGTCCTATGGGGACTCCTTTCAAGTTCTCTCATGTTAGTTTCAATCTTTTAAGTGCTAGAGGTCAAAAACCACACATGCGAAACTTCAAAAAAGAGTAAAGAAGTGATTTGAACTTCTAAAATGAGGTGGGTCCCACTACTAAGGCTGTAAGATAGTCAAAGGGAGAATCCTAAGGCTAGACCCTAAACCCTAAGTAGAAAACTAGACCTCGCTAAAAATGAGGTCAATAACTACTCACATTTTATTTCTATTTCTAGCCAATTTAAACTTTGATTGTGACGATTTCAGAATGGACCAACTTTTGGGAGAGTTTATTTGACTGATACCTGCTGAGAAATCAATATGCATTTGATCAACAATGCTGGCACAATGTTTTTGCGTCTAATACAAAGATGAATTTGGTAATTAATGTGTTTGCACGTTGATCAGATGTACTTACACCAATGCATTTTGGCTATCGTTGAACTTCATAGTTTAGCTCAAATTATCTCTTCCAGTAATTTTAAACCAATTTTTGGTATTCTTTTAGCTACAACTACGTCCGTTTTTACAAAGTTCAGAAACGATATTGCTCCTAAAAATATCTCCAAAAATTTGGTTACCAAAATAGACCATTTTGTTCATAGATATTGGTGACTTTCTTTTTGTTGAAGTTGGCGGGATCTTATCTCTCAGGATTTTTCAACCAATATCTGTCATTCCTTCAGCTGCCATAACATTTGTTTTAACAATGTATAGAAATAGTACTGTTTCTTAAAGTATCTCCAAAATCTTGATTAAAGAATAGACCATTTTGCTAACAGAGATAAACGACTTTTCCTTTGTTGCAGTTGGTGGCAGCATGCCTCACATTCGGCAAGTTATGACCAGCAAGACGCTCATGATTTTTTCATTACCATGCTTGATGGAATCCGTGAAAAAGAGCACGAGCAGCGCAAACCACACAGTGAGGGTAAAATCATTAACTTTTTTCCGATCCCGTCTTTCTTTCTCTGTTCCATCACATATGAGAGTCAATCTATATGCACTGTTTGACTAATTTAGTTTATGTAGTTGTGCAACAGCTATTTACTTGAAGTAATAATCAATGAAAAGGTTGTTGAGACTATTTTCTTGGAAAATTATTGTTTTTTTTTTGCCAAGCATCAATGGAAGAAGTTAATTGTATAATGCCTTATGTTTTTGGGGCAGGTTGCTGATATAAAATTGTCGAGGAGAGTTGAAAGGGAATCTGACGTGACTTGTAAAAAGGATAAACAAATTTCAGAAGAGAAGTGAAGTGATTATGAGGCATAGGAACTAGCCCAAAATAGGAAATGATCTATTCCACATTGGACCCACCCTGACCTTAACACACCACACCTATTAGGGGTCCACTCTACTAAACCTTAGGGTCCTGGACCTTTCCACTTAAAGATCGTTAAGCAGACGGTCCTGGACTCCAAGAGGAGTTGACTGTACTGACTCAATGAAGAAATGAGCACAGTAGGTCAACAGAAGAATGGTAGTCTGGTCCATGAGGGACATAGACACACTGCCGATGTTTGAAAACATTACCACCTGATCAAAGATGGAGAGAAGAACCAGTCCCCAACGGAGTAGCCATAATTTATTGGCGCTTAAAAGGGGGGAAAGTTAAAAGTTTGGTGGGTGATTTGTTCAAAAGTTGTTTGTAAGAAGCTGAAGGTGAAGTCCCGTTGCCCGCTTCGGAAGGATGTTTTAATTTATATATATGTATATAATTTTAGAAAAATATGAAATCAAACTGACCTCATATTTTTCAGTTTAAATGAAAGAGCGCTCTACCTCAAATCTTATATCTATCCCGAGGGATAAACACAAGACTTGAGGGTGAGACGCGATCAAATAAACTAAGAAATATATGACATCTGTTTGGTCTGCGAAACCGTTTTATTTGCCGACAAGTTCCCCTATTTAATACAAAGAATTAAATAGGGTTTATTTTAGGCTGGGTTCAGAAAAACTTCCTATAAGGGCAAACCCCTATAGTTAATTACATCTTAAATGACCGAAGTCACCTAAAAAAACTCTCGATAAAAATCAGAGAGTACTATCTTCAAATAAGTCAAAAAGATATGACTTTCAACGAAATCGGAAGAAGAGGTGTGAAAGGGGAAAGACTCGAATCTGGAACATCGTTGAGGAATCCAAATGATGAGAAGCTAGGGGAGACCACAGATCCGGAGGTGAACTCGGGTGATTTCCCGGTTTATCTTATGATTTGGCTTTAGTTTTGAGAAGAAATTATTCAAGTGTTTCATCCTGTCAATTTTATTTAATTAGAGTTTATATTTGCGTGATATTGTCACACAAATCGCCTAGAAGATATGAGGATTTACGTCGTATCAGACGACAACCTCGGAACCTAGAACGAGTTAGGGCTTAAATCGTACAGCAGAGCTATACGAATGCCTAAAGAAAAAGTGGAGGATTGATTTATGTTGCGCTAGGCAAACAACCTCGAAATCTTATGGATTGTTGTTTAATTTCTAGGAAAAGGAATGATTTTGCTGGGAAATACATGTTCTGCTATTGAAGATGGTCGTACTGCCCACCGCGCTAGCTCCAAGCTCCCCGACGTAACGAGTTTAAGTTTTATAGGGTGTCCAGTTATGGTGTCAAATCAAATGGCCCTATGATTGTAGTCCTCTAAACATCCTATATAAAAAGGAGACATGCTTAAAACTATATAATATAAAATGTGCAATGCAAGACAAACAGTAGGATGCATGTGGAACAATAACAGGTAGAAACAAGAACAGTATAACATGCTATATAGGAAGAACTGTAGCAAGTAGAAACATGAATAATATAACATAATATACAGTATAGTAGCAGGTAGGAACATGAAAAATAAAGCACTGTAAAATGTAAAGCAAACCTGTATGCCCGTGAGATCCGTCGTTTCTTAAGTATAACAAGCCTAAATGCATCTCAAAAGCGAAGTCTGGAAGAAACGTCGTCCAGGAAATCTGAGGACAGGAAA